CCTTCAAATCTGGCCTTCTGAGGACGCAGCCCATGAATGTGAACGCAGCCCATAGACGTAGACGCCTCTATGCTGCAGATGAGTCACAGCGTCCGCCATGTTGAATGTGGCAAATCTACTGATAGACTCAGACACTTAAACAGTATCAGAGGGAATTAACTACCTAATATTTTTATTTTTGTAAAATTACGAGTTTATTTTTGTAGCCCTTTGGCTTCATTCTCCTGATTTTATCGTAATTTTCTTTCATTGAAGTGAAGGTTTTTTTCAATTGAAAATATTTTTTTTGACTGAAGCAACGTTTTTTTAATTGAATGATAAATAAACTAATCTACCTTCAGCTGCATCTATAAAGCTCGATTTGAAACGTTTGTCTCTGCAGTTAGAAGATGATTAAAAATCAGAACCTTAAGCTTTAGAAATCGGCCTGCTGAAGTTCAGACATTTGCGAACATGTGAAACGTGAGCTTTGATGGAGGCCAGTCTGGGTCCAGTAGCCTCCTAACTGGGAGCAGACAGGAACCAGTCAGAGGGTCAGAAGAGCTGCTGGTCCTCAGAGGGTCCGTCTCTCTTAAAGCGACAGGCACCCACACGGTGAGAAATTATTCCCGGGGGTTTGTCTTCTCAGGCTTCTCAGAATAACTTTAAAGAACATGGACAGAGTATTGTTTTCACTGACTCGCTAAACACATGTTACCTGAGGGCAGCTCCTCCTGCTGGTCACAGCTGGAACTGCAGCACTTCTGTCTCATGTTACTCCTGTTTATGTTATGGGGCAGAGCCACCATCCTGCTCCTTTTAGATGCCTCCCTTGTCCAACATTTTGGATCAGACTCTCGTTAGCAGGCCTTAATTAAGGAGCTCGTTAGCAGGCCTTAATTAAGGAGCTCGTTAGCAGGCCTTAATTAAGGAGCTCGTTAGCAGCCCTCTGCTGCTGGATGACTGGATGCTGAGGAGGAGATCAGGTGTTTCAGCAGAGATTCAAAAGAAAAGTTTTCAACATTGCTTTTTGTCTTAATTCTCAGTAATAAAGATTGTTTTAGACATTTAGATTTATTTCAAATGATTTTTCTTACAGATTAACTTTATAGATCTATATGTTTTAGATTTTGAATCTTTGTTTTTTATGGATGATTTCTGGTTAATCTGCTGTTATTATTTTTTTATTTTGAATGTTGAAATGTGTTTAGGTGGAAATCTGTTTTCTGACCTTCTCTTTTGCTCTGCTTCTCCTTGCAGAGGTCCTTGTCTCCTCGCTCCATCTCTCCTCCTCCCTCCCCAGAGGTAACCACCACCCCCCCATCAGCTCAGATGTTCTGTAGGCGTCACTGAGATGTCTGCCTAGTTTCTGTGAATCATCTCATTGTTCCTCTTGCTGCTGCTCTAAACCTGAATCCGGCTGCAGCTTTTCTGCTGCACCTTGTTGCTATGGACTGTTTCCTAGCAACCAGCAGGCAGAGGCTCTGTAGATGGTTTGGACCTTCTGTGGTTCTGAGTGCTCTACATAAAGGTGTGATGTTCATTCTGCTCATCGTGGTCTCTGTCTGGTGACGATGAAGATGCAGCTTCATGGCAGCCCCTCCCCTACCTGTTGCTCCATCCACCTTCAGGGAACCCGTTTCCATGGAGGAGCCTGGGAACAGTAGCAGGTGGAAGATCAGATTCACAGATTCGCAGCAGGAGCTGTGGGGAGATGGACGGTGGAAAGTTCCCAGAAGGTCAGAGGTCAGGCTCATCATCAGGCTGAGGAGATCTTCTGGATGCTTCCACTTGCAGCTCTGGTTCCAACCTTCAATGATGTCCTTCAGAAGTGGCTCCTGACCCAAAGAAGTCCAGGAAGGTTCTGCTCTAAGATGTGGAGAGAAGTTCCATCATCCAGGAGGATCTCAGCTGCTCGTCCACAGCGAAAGCTCCATCAGGCCAGGGTCCATCTGTTTGGATGGACCTAATGGGTCCAACTAGGATCAGAACTCAGCTCTGCTGGTCTGGGTCTCATGTTTGAAGCTGGTTCAGCTGGATGAGGTTTGCTGGCTCTCCAAGAAGGTTCTGATGAGGATTCTGGGTCATAAGTTCCTCTGGAACGAGTGAGAAGATTTAGGTGTGACTGAGATGGTCCAAAATGTCCTCCAGGATTTCCTGGTTCTTTGGTTTATAGCTGAATAACGACCTGCTGGTGGGTTCCAGCGATTATTCAGACATGCTCCTCAGGAGGAGATCCTCCAGGTGTTTCCTCCCCCATGGAGTCAGAGTCAGCATAGATCTGGAGATCTGCTTCCTCACGGAGCTTCGCTCTCATCCTTCTGTTTCTGCTTTCTTCCCAGAACTTGTCCAAGGAGGCCCGGGACTGGCTGGAGAACCGGTCCCCAGGAGATTCTTCACCTTGTTCCACCATTCAGAGCAGCAGAACGCAAAGCTCTCACACACCGCCGACGCTAAACACACCCAGCACGCCCAACACACACCCCGTCGGCAACAGAACCACCATGCAGCACTTCCACCGACCCGGTAAGCACCTCACCCTCTGACCTCCAGTCTTCATTGGATTTGTAAGACTTTTCTTCCAAACATCCTCGCCTAGAACCCCATCAGGGCCGCGGTTCTGATCAGAGTAGAGAGGTCAGTAACCCCCGCAGTAACGGGCTCATTATGCCGCCGCCCGCAGCATATCACCACGCTATCAGAGGACGTACAAAACCAGCTTTATCAAAGCCTCTTCATGCTGTTCCAGAACAACAGTCAGGTCTTTCCTGGTGGTTTTCTTTTTCTGATAGTGAGGATGATTATGAGCTAAATCACAGGATGTCTGTAGATGTTAACATTTGCAACGATCACCATCAGGAGTTGCTGCTCGCTCGCCATGTTTTCCAAGTAGAGGACGCCCAAAATGACGTCATTTGGTCGTACTGACACGTCAATCAGAAACCAAGCTTAAAGTCGTAGGGAAGTCATATTTATACGTCAAATCATTCAGGCTTAAACATTAATATACTTTTTATCAGACCATATTGTCCCAAAATTTAGAACATTTCTATTTTTAAAAAAAATCCTGTCTTAAAATCTGTGTTTTTTTTCCCGTTATCTTCTGCAGGCCAGTTAGTTCTACGTCAGCCTGAACACCTAAATTCAGCCAATCATATATCAACGGTCATCTGTCAATCAAATGTTTTCGGTCATAGCATCTTGATTCATGTGTCGCAGCTAATATACGCAACGGTCGAAACCAGAATCCTTTCCTTTCCCATTGAGTTACGTCCCAGTGTTCACTGGGA